TGTATGTATGTATGTATGTATGTATGTATGTATGTATGTATGTATGTTGACTCATCAATGAATATTGCTTTAGGTTGTTTGCTGTGACAATTCACATATTCGTTGTGGCAAAATAACTCAAAATGATCAAAGTGGGAAGTTTGCTTATAGGGGAAGGAGGGCATTGCTTTTCTATTATGAGTAGATCAACCCTGGCCCACGAAGATTTTATGGTTTGCAAGCTTAAGAGTTCAGTACACACAGATTCTGCAACTGAACACATGCTGCTGTTCACAGTATAATGATATCCGATTGTTTTAACCTGTATTTCTAATGTTGTAAAAACAATTGTATTTATCATTTGAATAGATCATTAAAAGGACTCTATTTGGAAGCCACTGACGACTTGAGTTAGTCCATCATATTGCAAAGATGGATTTCCAGCATCGAGCTGGAGGGAAGACGGGCAGCGGTGGGGTGGCATCGGCCTCCGAGAGTAACCGAGACAGACGGGAACGGTTACGTCAGCTGGCTCTGGAGACCATCGACATCAACAAAGACCCCTACTTCATGAAGAATCATTTAGGATCATATGAGTGCAAACTTTGTCTGACACTTCACAACAACGAGGTGAGAATTATATATTTGAATATTTTACGGTGTTCTTGTTAACGGAACATCTTATTTAAAAAAGAAAACTGACATTTTGAGACTCTCTTCATTACAGGGAAGCTATTTGGCTCACACACAAGGAAAGAAACATCAGACCAACTTGTAAGTCCACCTCCCATTATAATTTGTTTTGGAATAACAAAGTACAAAGTTAAGTTTGATCAAATGCAAATAAAACGTTTCGTAGTCTTTTTAAATGATACAATCCACCCTTAATGTTTTTTACATTTGGGGAATGGGTACACTTAAGCATAAGGCCATTTTCATTTTGTGTTTCAGAGCAAGGAGAGCTGCCAAAGAAGCTAAAGAAGCTCCTGCTCAACCAGCCCCAGCAAAAGTCAAAGTTGAAGTAAAAAAGTTTGTCAAAATTGGTCGACCGGGATACAAAGGTGAGCCAGCTTTGTTGTAAAGAATTACTGCAGATACTACTCCTTTCAGAATTGTTGCAGTTTCTATACTAATGTATATTGTTTGAATGATTTTACGATCAATCTGTTTTTCTGCTTTCCCGACAGTAACAAAACAGAGGGACCCAGAGACCGGTCAGCAATCTTTACTTTTCCAGGTTGGAGTCCTGATAAGAAATCTTTTGAAAACTTAATGATTTAAGTTTGTCTGTCAAATTCTAAGCTTGATTATAGACTATCTGTTCATGATGGTGGAACTGAAAACTTAGGAATCTTAGCAGAGCAGAGTTTCTGTTCTAAAAAGTCTGTGCCAACTCTCTTTGTAAATAAATGCCAAACTCCTGTCTATTATCCCCAGTTAGTTTAAAAGATATGTTCTAATTATTCAAATGATGAAAGCATCTACGATTGCTGCAAATGATACAAAGCATCATTAAACTTCTTCCTCTGTGGGTTGACATTGCAGCAACAGTCACTACATGTCTTCCATGTTTTTAATTATTTTTGTCTTTTGGGGTCAGATTGATTATCCAGAGATTGCTGAAGGAATCGGACCCAGGCATCGCTTCATGTCAGCTTATGAGCAGCGCATCGAGCCCCCCGATCGTCGCTGGCAATACTTGCTGTTTGCTGCTGAACCATATGAAACTATTGCCTTCAAGGTGAGTGGGATTTGCGGCTCTTTATTGACACTTTAATGCCATTGTCCTACTTTAAAATAACACTAAGATGCTTCATCTTTTAGGTCCCCAGCAGGGAAATTGATAAAGCTGAATCCCGCTTCTGGACACATTGGAACAAAGAAACTAAACAGGTACTGACAAGCTGAGGAGCATTAGCCATCAGTAAACAAAGCTTGTCCTTTTTTTTTCATCTGGGTTTTAACTTTGTCATTTTTTTCCTGCTCAGTTCTTTTTACAGTTTCACTTCAAAATGGAGAAAGCTATTCCCCAGTCCACTGGTCCAATGCCTCCTTCAGGCGTGAAGCACCCCCCGCCTCTTATGAGCGGAGGACCTCGTTCAGTAAATGATTCTCTGCCCCCTCCCCCACCGGGAGGCATGCCTGTCCCCCCTCTCCCACCTGGGGCTCCAGGTACCCATCAGATGCCCCATCAGATGCCCATGCCTCCTATGCCAATGAGACCACCCCCCCCAGAGGCCCTTATGTCTAATAACTGATTTCTTACCATTGATTAGTTATTCCTTTGTTATACTCTCCAGTGTCCACCTGATTTGTAATATTTTAGATATATTTGGGTGAATTTTATACATTTGTCTGGTAAATCAGGCTGGATGTCAGAAAAACAATACCATGGTTAATCATTTAAAGTTAATTTTTGTTTTTTTTTTGTTTTTTTTTAATAAATACAGAAGTGAAAGAGAAACCAATCGAATCTTGGTCTATTCATTTACAACAAGCTCTCACTGAGACATGCACTGACAGCTCCTGTAGTATTTAAACTTAAGGTTGATGATTTGAATAAAGGTGGAATTAACTGATAGCTGAAGGTCCCTGAAGTGGCTTTTGGAAAGCATTAGGACTTTGTATACCCGATATATTAACACAGAGTTCATGTTTAACAGAGCCTGAGTGTGCGTTGTGTATTAGATGTTTTCTAACACAAATAAGTAACCAGCTGATTGAAAATGTAAAACAAACATTTATTTCCACGAATCTTCACCTGACAAAAGTCTGTCCTGGAGAGCAAAACTAAGTTGTAATAATGCTACTAATGCAGATACTTTTCTGAGGGATATCTAAGCAAACCTTTCTGAACCGAATACTTTGTTTAATATTTTTGCTTTCAGAAGGAATTAGAAAATTTAAACATTTGCCACTATCAACCTTTTTTAGTTTTTTTCTTCTCCTTTTCTCCTGACTTAGGTTTCTTAGGAACCGTCTCTTCATCTCGCTCCTCTTCCTCTTCAGGATCTTCCTTTTTCACCCTTTTTTTCTTGCCTTTGATTTCTTCTCTAGCTTTTCTGGCTCTCTTGTCCTCTAATTTCACTTTGCTTTGCTTTAGGAGCTTTTTGTCTAGCAGCGGCCTGTTCCTGACTCTACTCGGTGCCCGCGTTGTCTCTCCTTTCTTTGATTTCCCTCTTTTCATCTCTTTATCATCATCATCATCCTCTTCCTCCTCGTCATCATCAAGGTCAGGCAGCCATGAAAGCATGACTTCCCAGATAGATGTCTCTGGCTACCAGTTCAAGAGCAGAAATGGAAAGTGTTCAACTTGCGATTAGACTGTTAAAGTTTAAATCTTGAGCTGTAACAAAAGCAATTTACCTCAGGCGGGGGCCCTCGGCGCCGCATTGCTCCAGGGCGTCTCATTGTTAGAGCAGCGTCTTCCTCCTCCTCCTCCTCCGATCCATGGCCGCGAAAGGTTTCTATGGAGGGTTTTTCCCCCCCATAAAGATAATTCTTTTAAACGGTTGTGCCATTGTCGTACCGAAGATCTTCCATAGTTGCGCCAGTTTACTTACCATGCATCCTCTGAAAGCCCGAGGTGAGCACCAGGATGGTAATGGCCACGAACAGACAGCGGTTGAGAGTGACATTCTCCCATGGTGTTTCTATCTGAGTTAGGTTCTGGATGGAGAAGGCCTTGTGCAAAGATGCTGAGGAGTGGATCAGAAATAAAGTTTGACACTGAGCCTGAATCCTGATAAGGGATTGAGGACGTTACTCACTAGTTTTGGCTACGCTTGGCTGTCTGGGAAAGGCCTTCGGTTCTGAACTCGGCTGCTGTGGAACAGGGTTAACCTGAGGGAGAACAAAATGTTGTTTATAAAGCTCTAAATATTCAAACTTGGACCGTTTTGAATGTTTGTCGATTTTGGTCTGCGTCAAACCTCTTTAGTTGTCCTTGAATTGTACATTTCTGGAAGAAACGAAATATACATTAAATTTGACGCATGGACTGTATATAATCTACACGATAATGACCCGTTGAAGGTCTTAAATAAAAACAATATGGCTCATAAAAGGGAATGTGACTTATCCTGACTTATCCTTCTAACGAGGCATTTCAGTCAAAATCAGTTCACTGGAGAGCTGTGGCTCCTATTTTGTGGGTTTCTAATCATAGTCCACTCATCACTGGGAGAGGATCCATTCATACTGGCAAAGGTTTATTATAGTGTTCCATTTGGGCCCGAGTCACATTAAAGTTTCCCATTATGCTTTTGCTCCCAACTAATTACAGGGATGCTGTCATGTAACAAAATATACAAGACATTAAAGCATATGAACACAGGCATCACAGATGTGGTGTTTGTGCATCACCACCTGATCTGTGGATGGCTCGAACAGGCCTTTGTGGAGGAAGATCTGCCCTTGGTGGCCACAACTCCTCCTCAAATGTTTCATAGCTTTCCTCCATTCCTCCCCTGATGAAAACAGAAAGTGATTGCAGAAGTAGCTTAAAAGTAGTCTGCCTTTATAGGATCTTTTTTTATTTTTGCATGCATGCATGTGCTACATGTCTGTGTAATCAAGAGTGCAGTTCAGCATAAGTATTATTTTATCAAATGATTTTCCCTCGGCTGCCGTTTATTTGAGAAAAGTTTTGTTACAATGCTGGTTGCTTTCATCTCAAACCTCAAAAGTATTTTTTCCAACTTCCCATCAGCATTCAGTTTGGCTACTCAGAATGATTTAAGTAAAAGGTTAACTTCTCCACTTATGAATGACATTGAAATTTTTCGCTGACCTTAACATTTATAGATGAATGCTGTGAGGCCCTTTTGGCCAACATGACATTTCTAAATAGACATTGAGCTAATGTCCTTGCGGTTCTATAAATAGATGCAGCTATGTCTCCAAAAAGACAAATGGATACACGTTGTATTAATACACAAAAAGAAAAGGTCTGATGTTACTGTTAAATGCCATTGAATAACCTGTTTTGTGAAAAGGCCTAACCTTTTCCCCTGATAGAAATTAGGACTTACCTGCCTTGGCATTTGGGCTCCTCCGAGCAGCGTCGGGGAACCTTTGTCACAGAGTCGTTGTTCCTCCACAGAGATGGCGGCCCGGTTACACTATGAGCTGTCTGACAGCCAAGCACAGGTGCAGGAGACTGAAAAAACAAAAAGCTATGAAATGTCAGCGAGAGGCATTGACTGAGGAGGGTTGACATTACCCAGCCTCATACAGCTGTTGGTTCCCAGAACACTGAGAGGGAAAAATAGGACGCATATCATAACCTGTTATGGCTAACTCTGTGTTGGAGAACTTTTTTGAATCAAGGAATAAGTTAAAAAAAAATTGGAGCCCCTGGAGCTGTGCTCCGATAACGGGTGATTTAGACTTTCCATTTAATTATTATCTTAGTTAGACAAACGGGTTAAATGTCCTTTAAGTGAATGACTTTATTGTGTTTCTATTGGAGGATTCTCTGAAAGCTTTTTCAAACTGGGAGTTTGTCTGTGTATCATTTTAAAGATCCGCCAGCAGAGAGCACTGCTGTTCTTGGCAGATGCCATATGAGGCCGCTCTGCTTTGCAGACAATGTCTGCAATCTGTCAGACAAACAATCCATCACACAGTGGAACTGAGGGGGCTGACACATCTCTCCGAATGAGTTGGCCACCAGCTACTATATTGAGCACGCAAGACACATATGCCCTTTTTATCTCATTAGATAATCTTCCTGTAGAGGTTTCACTTCATCTGTTTTCATATTTCACAGCTCACTGAAGATGAGTAGATTTTATGTGCCGTGAGGACTTGAGGCAAACGTAATAATAAAAAAACTAACAAGAGGCTACATAACCAGATGTTACAGTGACTGGATTATTTCAGGGTTAGCTACTTCTAATTGGGAAGGCAGAAGGAGTGTGCGTAAACAGTTTTGTGGCATTGTCAGTGGCTCATGCATCTGCTGGCACTGGCACATTTCTAACTGAACCAAACATCGCTTTACCCATCACTAACCATGATATTCAGCTGATCCAAAGAAAGCAGAGTACTGGGACCTGCGAAATAATGATTAAAAACCAACCTACACCACTATACCCATTACCAGTTGTGTCTAACGTTTGATCCAGAGTCACTTATTTCTAAAGAACCAAATAAAAGAAAAAAAAACATGATTAATAATCAGAATCAGAATCAGAATCAGAAATACTTTAATAATCCCAGAGGGAAATTATTTTTGTTACAGGCTCCGTAAGCAAAATAAAACAAAGGCATATACATATGTACATGTCTATACATATATACATATATATATACAAAATTCCTCATAAATATAGCTAGATATATACAAAATGAGAGGTGGATAGTGTCAATGATTAAGATTGACTCTCAGAGGGAAGCGTTGTACAGATTGATGACCACCGGCAAGAAGGATTTCCGATGGCGCTCTGTGGTGCATTTGGGTGAGAGGAGTCTTCTGCTGAAGGAGCTCATCTGTTGGGCCAGTGTGTCGTAGAGGGGGTGAGACACATTGTCCATGATGGACTTAAGCCTGGACAGCATCCTCCTCTCTGCCACGGTCGACAGAGTGTCCAGCTCCTCCCCTACAACATCACCCGCCTTCTTGATCAATTTATTTAGTCTGTTGCTGTCTGCGATCCTCAGCCCACTGCCCCAGCATGTGACAGCAAAGAAGATCGCACTGGCCACAACAGACTCATAAAACATCCTCAGCATCGTCTGACAGATGTTAAACGACCTCAGCCTCCTCAGGAAGAAGAGTCGGCTTTGGCCCTTTTTGTAGACTGCCTCGGTGTTTCTTGTCCAGTCCAGTTTATTATTTAAGTACACCCCCAGGTACTTATACTCCTCTACAGTGTCTACAGGGACCCCCTGGATGGAAACAGGGGTCACAGGTGTTTTGGCCCTCCTCAGATCCACTATCAGCTCCTTTGTCTTTGTCACATTGAGCTGCAGAGGGTTAAGTTTACTCCAAGTGACAAAGTTGTCCACCACAGTCCTATATTCACCTTCATCTCCCCTTTCAATGCAGCCAACTATTGCTGAGTCATCAGAGAATTTCTGAAGATGGCAGGACTCAGAGCAATGGCTGAAGTCTGAGGTGAAGACGGTGAAGAGGAATGGAGAGAGGACAGTCCTCTGAGGGGCCCCGGTGTTGCTGATCACCCTGTCAGACACACAGTTCTGTAGGCGTACATACTGTGGTCTGCCCGTCAGATAGTCAACAATCCAGGACACGATGGGGGCATCCACCTGCATCGCCGTCATCTTCTCACCCAGTAGAGCCGGACGGATGGTGTTGAAAGCACTGGAGAAATCAAAGAACATGATCCTCACAGTGCTCACCGGCTTGTCCAGATGAGTGTAGACTCTGTTCAGCAGGTAGATGATGCTGTCCTCAACTCCTAGGCGGGGCTGGTAGGCGAACTGTAGTGGATCCATGAAGGGCCTGACCATAGGCCTTAGCTGCTCCAGAACTAGCCTCTCGAAGGTCTTCATGATGTGGGACGTCAGTGCCACCGGTCTGTAGTCCTGAGGGCCGTTAGGACGCGGCGTCTTAGGTACAGGAACGAGGCAGGACGTCTTCCACAGCACGGGGACTCTCTGGAGGCGCAGGCTCAGGCTGAAGACCAGACCAAGGACTCCACACAGCTGGGCGGCACAAGCTTTAAGCACCCCAGGAAATACACCATCGGGGCCTGCAGCTTTGCCGGTGTGGAGTCTGGTCAGTTGTCTTCGAACCAGGTCAGGTGTGAGGGACACTGAAGAGGTGACAGTTGTGGGAGGGGCTAAGTCCTCAGGTTGTGGAGGACACGATGCAGAGCAGGGGGGAAGGGTGGAGTAGGTGGGTGTGGAATGAGGTGGTAAGGAGAAGACAGGGCGTCTGAAAGGAGGAGGAGTGGGGGAAGGTGGAGTGGTCGTCGTTGGGAAACCATCGGCATCAGGTGGAGTGGTCGTCGTTGGGAAACCATCAGCAGAGGCTTGTGGGGGATGGGCCTCAGTATCAAACCTATTGAAAAATAGGTTCAATTCGTTGGCTCGTTGGCTCGTTCCACTCGGCCATCACATCAATATTTGGTGTTTGTGATAAATCTTCATCTTCCAAATATGAGCATGTAACAGTTTCCACTGTCTAACTTTCATGGATCGAAGTTTTTAAAAAATTCAGAACAATCCCCAATAAAAGACAATTCATTTCCATAATTTCATCAAACACATTCCCTTAAACATAAGATTTCTTAAAATGTAATTCTTAGTAATCTTGTGTACATATCTCTTCAGTACTGTACTGATTATGAACTACATGTAGTTATTTTTACTTACACAAACGATCATTTAAAATAAATCTTCGTATACTGTAGGTCAACAATCCATGGTTCTCAAACTTTGATAATGTTGGACTTCAACCAACATATTGTTCTTTTATGACTGTGTATACAATGTTAATTTTATGATACATATCTAGGCTTATTGCACAGTTCACTCTACAGTGGTTTTGCATGTTCTTTTGTTTTTTCAGAATGAGCTCTTCTGCACCCTTAATTGGTCAATGCATGCTCTCACCCCATTCATTTGTAAGTGCTTATTAGTCCCAAGGATGCTGCTTTAGCTGCTTGTTAGAATGCATCATCTGTGAGAGTAGCTCTTTCAATTAACACTGATTAAAAAGGGCATATTGAAAAGGGATAAACTCATTTTTCCGAATATCAAAGCAAACCTTGCACATTTACACATCTTCACCTTAATCTGAGCTCCAAGGGACTGATTCTCAGCAAATGGTGAAAAATAAAAATGTTACACTTCAACAATCTCTGAAAAAAGTCTTAAAGAAAGTTTCAAGGTTAATATAAGCCCCCTGTGGACACAGAGAAGGTGTGCAAACATTGCTTGCGGATATCTATGTTCTAGATTAAGGCACCAGAGACATCTAAGCTGGTGAAGCTTTTTGTCCACATTTGTCCTTACATAATGACTGCACAGGGAGGGCAGGCTGACTGTTCGACACCCACTGAGAGCTGCTCTGTGCCCTCTTTACTGGCCAGGACAGTGATGCATGAAGCAATGTTAGCCACTGTCTCAGAGGACTCACAGGAACTTTAACTTATATACTTTATATATCTGGATGGATGGATGTGAAAAATATCAATAAAATTTAGTGAACTGTTTATAGTAAACATGTAGTTTTTAATTCGATGGAGCAAGTTAGATATTTTATTACAAAAAATTAGAAAAATCCTCAATGGCTTGTGCAAGACTGGCTGATGAAAACTTGATGCTGTCCATTAAAAATTCTATGCTGCAATGATCTAATCTCTATATGATAAATAATAAAGTTAAATTCTATCCTAAAAAAAAACTCTTGAATCCAACATCTAATTGAAACAGCATGATAATGATGAATCAATTTTCCTCAGAGGATCACCGCTGTGTGTTGACAGCATTGGGGGAAGAGGCACAACCGCAGAACTGAAATGCACCTAAAGAGGAGGCATGAATGAGTCTAATTTCTTTTTTACCCTCAACAACTCTGTTCCACAGAATGATACTAAGTTAACATTCTGCATTTCAGATGTTTTAAGGGACCAGGATAGCCCCACTTTTCTTTAACGGCCTCTATAAACCCTACATCCACAGAGTCTGTCAGTCACTTAAATGTTTTCATAAAGGAGTATTTTTCCCAAGTTCTAAGTAGTGATGAAAGTAAAGGAGTTAGGCTATTACTCGATAGTCTTTGTTGGCTAGCCAAGCAATAGGGTGCTTGATTATATAATCTATCTAATTATCTTCTAAAGGGTTGGAACAGGTTGAGGAAATCATTGATAGTCATACCCAAAAAGGTGCAACTAGTTCATCCTTAATCAAAGTTTGTGCCAGTACCTCTCCTTGACTTTAGTAGAGCTTGACTTGAAGTGGTACTTTTTGTCCATTAGCGATGCAGTGCAACGTCATCCAATCTACTCCATCAAAGTTACATCCTGTTAGCCCCCGGATTGTTAAGTGTTTTCCAGATTCTGCAGATTTTGATTTTCATTACAAGAGTTTTAAATCCAATAGAAAGACGTTTTGGATGGATGGATGGATGGATGGATGGATAACTTGTTGTTTTGGTCCATGTTTTCAGCTTCCAAGCAAGCATTACCATTGCCTTCAAAACATACAATCAACGTTTTCTTTTTCTTCAAATAATCCTAAATATTTAAAGATAATAAATCCAAGAAAACTAAATATAGATTTTTGACATTGTGAAACACTTGTCTTATATTAATGGTTTCAACAAAGGCTGAGAAATTAAACAAAGTTGCAGAGGTTTTCTTCAGGTTTAAAAAAAAAAAAAGAATAAAATTCTTTTACAGTTTTTATTAAAAGAATCTTTAAAATTTACCATGGGTGTGGATAGGTTAAGTGACCAAAATATGTTGAAATTCAATTAGTGTCCAAGTTAGTTTGGCTAAGAGTTTGATAAATGAACATAGTATTAACGATGAGTACCAAGTAGATGCATAATTAATGACTCTGCTCAGTCTATAAACTTTGCATGCAAGATCCTTTACAATGCCATTAATTAAGACTGACTTATGAATATTGAATGTGGTGATTCCAATTAAATGCATATACAAAGGAGCATGGTGCTTGTTTAGAAGCCATTAAAGCAGTATGGGACTTAATCATGCATGCGCCGAATAAGGTTGCATCTTCCACATTATTTATTAAACTTTCCTTTATGTTTATTTTTTTCCAGAGTTTAATTCTTCTCTGTTTGATATGTGAGGTTTTGGTTATCGGCCCTCATTTTACAGAAGGCCTCACAGAATGACCTGCTTGCCTTCCAGTATCGATACCTGCCTTTGCCTTTGACGTCCTCCCTCTCACTTGTGCTGACGAGGAATGACATTGTATCCACAAGGACTCACTCATGGTCTCTGCATTGCTTAGCTTTCTCTTTGAATCTGCGGCCGAAGTTTTCATCTTTTCCCGGAGCTACTGTGAGTGTTCTGTGATTCTCTGACACGTTGTATCTCTTCAAGCGGCTAACCAAACCCATGATCTCTCATGCACCACAACATGTAACTGCCCGGATCACAAGTATGATTCCTGCTGGTTCAGGGGGCCCAGTCTTCTGTAATGTGGCCAGAGCCCTCGGGCATATAAAGGCTCAAATGTCCAAACAATGTGTTAATCTGTCCATCATTTTCCTATAGTGGAAGATTAAAGGTGTAAGATCAAGAGCATCAAATTCCTGAGGCGGGAACTGGAGTGACCCAAAGGAATCCTGGGACATGCAAGCAGATGGGTGACTGGAGAGAAGGACGAGATGAAAGATTTTCTTCTTGTGCAGGCTGTGTGTTTATTTCCAGTTATCCTTTTTTTTTTACTACATGTCTTCAACTTCCTTTTTTATTATTATGAAGCTCACACATAAGACTGAGAGGAAATGAGAATATAAGGAAAGCAAGACAGAATAGATTTCTTAAAAAGCAAAAAGGAAAGGGAATCCAATATACTGTTTGATCATGAATAGTAAGGCCGGAATTATATGTCTAATTCCCACCTAACATCAAGGATTAATTGTTGTAAAACTGATTATTTTGTTTTAGCCCTCATGGTACATTCTCCCAGGTTTGATTCTTCCAAGCTTGTTTAACACTCTTGCTCCCTTAACTGGGTTTCTTCAGGGAGGCAAGACCAAGTGTCAGACCCTTTTTTAGTTTCCTCCACACCTCTCTCTGTCTCTCATTGTGTCTGTGTGCCATTTTATTGACGGGATAATTTTCCCAGATATTATACTGCAGTCTCGTGGGTACTATGTGTATTAATTACCATCTATTCATCTGAGGCCGTTCAGCCTTTCAGCAGCAGTTCCAGGCCAGCTCCTCACAGCTTCTATCACAGCCTTAATGTGCTGGCAGACATGTGTCTGTGGGACACAAGTAATGTGAGTCCTTTGCCGCAAAAAAGAAAAAGCCATGGCTTTAGCGCTAAGGCTCATTAGATTAGATTGTTGACTCCTGGAGGAGATGCAGCACAACGATCAGTTTGAGTCTGTACGTTTTTCTACAAAAATCTTTGATGAATAAGCTAAACGTGCCATTCCTTATTCCACAAACCATGGACATGCAGATCTGTTAATATATTAGTCTATTTCATTGAAGCGGAAAACGAAAATGGTAAACAAGAGATTTGTACTGTCCATTTTATATCTGAAAGACAATCTTGGGATTAATTATATTTGGAAAGAAAAATGCCCAGTAATATTTCAATCTCAAATGACGCCTAATTACAATCTAATCAAATAGGAAACATTTGGCTCCTTTCAGTCAGTCTAACCCAGTAATTAATCCAGTAATTTTGGAGGATTCTAATTTTATGTAGCTTTATTTAGAATATTTTTAAAGTTGTAGGAGTGACAAGTGTGATAATCATCCTGAAAGTTGAGTTATTACAATTTAAAAAACAGACATGTGCAGGTAGAGATGTAGAGACAGGACTGAAAGAGAAATGGAAACATCGTATTAAAAGGAAGGTGGAGTAGTTCACCGGGTCCTAAAAGTGATGACAGTGTGATAGTACCTTACACCATCTGTTGTCGCTGGGTCACCTTCTTAGGCGTATAAAATGAAAGAAATGTTTTCACTTCTGACCTGACCTGTCATTTCTTTCTTCATCAGTTTATCATCTTGAGATGAAGACAATGTTTTTCTGCCCGTAAAGGGTTTTAACAAACTTTTAAATAACCTTTATTATGATTAATAAAGGCATTATAGTTTATTTTACACAAACATTTGAAACTGCTGACACTCTCTTCACGTTCACTATTGTTTTTTAAACTCTAAATAATAATGAAATGACCAAACTAGCTGAAAACATCTGACAAGTCCAGACCCAATATTTCATATTTTTGTAATTATTTGTTTTAAGAATGTGATACTTTCACATAGCTTATTTTATTAATAATTTAACTGATTGACGCAAGTTTAAAAAGAGTTGCTGAGCTGTAAGTGACGAGTTATCCCTGCAACAACTTTTGGGAAAATGGCAGAGATATCAGAGATAAACAAGCAGCTGTGTAGGAGGGCTGTAGAAACATAGTTCTACAGTGGTGTCATTTCATTGTCTGATCAGAATCTGCTGCGGCTTCACTCTTGCATTTCTCAGAAAACAATATTGCTGCTTTTTTTCTGTCTTTTTGCTTGAGATATTTTGCTGTATGTTCCCCTCACTGCTTCCCTCCCTTCACCGTGTTTGTGTATGAGCAGCCTTTCAGCCTGCTCCTGGTTGTCAACTGATTGCAGATAATTACAGCTATTTGACTGCCGCTTTCGCAGCAAGCCCTTTCTGTCGGCACTTACAGAGGGAGAATATGCCAAGCAGAGGTCCTTAACTGCCACTGTGGGTAACTACAGACAAAATGGTGCTGTGGATGTGACAGAATAAAATTACATGCCTGACTGATGATGGTGGTCTCAGGTAGTTGTAATATAACACAGAAATAAAAGTCACAATTCAAAAAGCAATGTTGCAAAACTACTGAAACCACAGAAGATTAGAAGACGTAATTCAATTTAAGCTCCTGTTATAGTTTTGCGGGAAAAATACATTAAATGTTTTAGGGAAGTTTGTGAATAACTGTAAAATGTGTAATGGGTAAGCAAGTAACTGTCTGTCTTTGGTTAGCGGAGTCAGTTTAACTTCAATATGATTTAATGATAATCTGAGAAGAAAGTGAGTTCTTTGTCAACCAAGTTGCATGGAGAGCAGTCTGTTCTCCCCCACAAATTATACCCCATCCTGGTTTCACAGAATATAATTGTTTTTGAGGTATTGTATGTTAGCTACATGCCTTTCAGTGCTATATCTAGCACAATAGGAATGACTCAGACTCTATGTTGACAGCTCTCCTTGTCTTTCTCCTTCTCTTTTCCTCACTGCCTATCGGAGAGTTTTGCATTTTGCTAGTCTTTTTCATCTCTGCTCATTGTCCTTTGCATCCTCATTTTCTTCCTACCTTCCTTGTTCGTCTCCTGTTTTCAGAAACGAGGCGTTGTTTGACCTGAGAAGTCCTCACCATCCCACTCAGCAGGAACACCTCTTCTGTTTGTCTCCTTGTTTCACGGGGAGCCATGACAGTTGCACACTTGACCGCAGGTAAAAGTAGATAATAGCATGAGCAATCAAATCAGAAGAGGTCAACACAGACAGATGTACTTGATCTCTTTCACATTCTTTCCATGTATATGCTCATACATTCTATACCTGAGTATCCACCACATGCACAGCTTCTCTAGCTCTTGCTTGAAGTTTGTGAAGTTTGCTGATTTCAAGGTGACACCCAATGTGAAAAGCAACAACATTTCGTTGTCCTTTTTTTCTTTTCAAATGTTGCATCATTATGTGGATGTTATATACTATATTGTCAGACTTCATTATAACAGATCCCTTGAGTCATAGTTCAAACTTGGTCCAAACATGTCAGCATGCATTTGCATACCCAGTATACTATCATCTTGTTGCCAGACCTGAGTTATTATACATGTACTGTAACAGAGTACAGCAAGATTGCAACCTAAACTAAACAAACTGTAGAAAACAGTTTGATTATTGAATGAGTTTGATTATTAAAGAATAGTCACCCGTGTACATGCTAAAGGTTATTACAATTGGAGGAAACAGATTGTGCATTTAAACACTATTCAGTGCAGGATTTTTAAAACCAAACAGAAGCAAAAATGACTAGAAGTCCTCGGGATCACTCTGGCGATTCTGCCTAAATGAGACTGTGCCCCACATCCCTTTTTTGGTCCACTATTTTGAGTTATGCACATCAATCATTTACGCCTTCATTGCTGTCAGAGAATTCTGTTTTAATCATTATTTTCTCCAGCATGGTGGTTGTTGTTCATGTCTAAAGGAGTAAATATAAAGTACTTGTTTAGTGCTACTATTGTTAGATTTTCCTTTTTTTTATTTGCTTATATAATGAACTGACCAAGTGGGTCAGAGCCTGGCTCACAGACCCCTAAGACAGACAATCACCATCACTCAGCGTAGGATCTTTGATTGTTGGTAGCACTGGGTTACAGAGATCATTTCGCAATATACTGTCACATATATATTTGTGAGACTATGTGAGGGATTTACGTTGCTCTCTGCAGTGTGTGGAAGAACAGTGGTTGAATTTTGTGACACCATCATGTCATCCAGAGATTGACAGTGTTAGTGGTGTTTTGTTACCTCTCTGCAACCTCATCCCTACACTGGTATCCTTCTCTGCAGTCTTTGTCGTGGACATGATCTTGATGTTAAAATACTGACACTGACTTTCCCAAAATCCACCAGAGGCCTGGTTGTGGAAACAGGTCCATGGTCATCTGTCAGTGATGTTTTGACAAGAGTTTTTTTGTCAGTTGTAATTTTGTTAGATTACCTCTGATGTTGCTTGATAATGTTGGTCTCTTCACTGGATCTTGCAACTGGGTGTACCTAATGCTAATTATCCCATGTGTCTAATGAATGAATTGACTAAATACTACAACTGTAAATAACAAGAAACCAACTTTGTTTTTTAGAGGTTGTTAAGTGGCGCATTAAGGATTTAAATCACTCTCATGTCTTGTACTGCTCTTTTGAAAAATCTATACTTTTCCGACCGTGGATTGAACTGGAATCCTTGAGTTCTTTTAGACAGGGTGTAGCTTGCGCTCGCCACCATTTCCTTTATCTGCCTAGATGGATTCTGGTTCATTGTCGCCTTCTTCCTCCATGTTGGCAGGCCCTTCCTTGCTCTGATTTCTGTCTGACTGGAGGAGCGGGAAGGACGGCTTCGGGAGCATTTTCAGCAACATAAACTCATGGCAGCTGCAGAAACTGCTCAGGGCTGCCGGGGACCAGGATGCAGATCAAAGGGCCCAGCTGGTTTGGGGCTCTGATTTGAGGCAGTACTGGCTCTGTCCTTAATAGTTCTGAGTGCTCGAAGTCAGCAAAGAGGGTCAACGACCAATAGGAGGGATTGAATGGGATCACGCTGATTTGTGCTTTCAATCACCTCAGGTGAATGTACAATAATGCTCACATCCTTTTTGCATGAGTCAGCATTTTATTATTATAGTTGAAAATATGTTGCTCAGGATTGGGGAGAACTCACCAAGCAGCCAGAGGAAGAATAAAGTGATGCTGATGCAGAAGCATGAATAGGAGGGTGAAGAGGAGGGTTCAATGCAGCAGCACTCACTGAGAGCCAGGCGTCTGCAGGGACATCTGAGAGACCAGTCAGAACCGGCTTAGGAAACAGAAGAGGAGGAGAGAGCAAACCACCGAAATACCGTCACTAAACACTCCACCGATAAAGCAAGAGCAGGCAGAAAAAACACAAAGGAAAGGGCAGGAATAACCTGCCAGACTCGAATTAAAACATATTTTATCCACAGCACGGCTGGATTACCACAAACTAAACTTGAAAACCAAAAAGGCCAGAAATAAAAAGCAAATGTAGCATTTTGTATGTTGTTAAGTTATATGTTAAGATATCATACCATCATGGTTTTGGTTCCAAGCACTTTCACAGTTATAGATTCATGATAAAGAGGTCAGGTAACACATGCAAAATGATTTCAGAGGTCATTCAAATCAGCGTAAATACAATCTTTGCATTTTTAATTTCTGAAGCATTTTATATCAAAACAAATGATACTCAACATTGTTTATTCATAGACGAAAAAACAAGCCATTATCTCCTCCAAACCAAAAAGCCTTGCTGCCACACCATTTTCTGAAATAAATTAACAAGCTTGTCAAAGCTTGTTAGTTTGTTTCAGAAACAAGCAAACAAAATCTTTTTAAAAAAAAAAGGAAAACTGGAAAGGCATTGTTAAATGAAGAATCTGAATTATTGTGTGGGTGGCCTACATCTTGTGCAACTTCTCTATATGGTGCTTGTTCCCCTGTTTCACCTCTCCTATTTGCACCTTCATCTTTGTTTTTCAAGAGTGATGACTTGAGGACTGGACAGGACTGCTGGAGTTCTTCATTAAATGTTTCTCCCCTTTGCATTCCCACTAGCCTTGTAGTGGCAATGTAACAGTATTCAGGTGTTGCACAGGACAACTGTTATAATCTGCCAAAGGTGTGACAGTGTTAATGAATCACAGATGCTATGCTACTGTCACTGAAGAACCGTTTAGTTTTGTGTCCCTAAGACATAAAAAAAAACCCTGCCAGGACATCCCCTTGACATTGATAAAGCTTATAGTATTCATGGTTCAGTGTCTAATCCAGTAGTTTAGTTAAGGAGACAATGATATCCAGTCCTTCTTTATTTATTCATTCATTCATTCATTTATTTCTTGCTTTACTGTCCCTAGTCTCAGTTTGCACTTCACTGTTGTGTGACACGGACGAAGGAAAAGCAATGGGGCTCTGGATAGAAAGATGCCGGTAAATGTGTGATGACTGAAATGTGGCCCCCATCTTCTTCGGGCTTCCATTGTTCAGGAAGATAAACATTTTGAGATGCACACACGGAAACACACACAATGACAAATACGCAAGCTTTGTTGTTTTGTTTATCTCGACACTGCAGGCTCCCAGACAAGCCCCTCTGATTTTTCATGCAGGCTAACACGTAGGATTGTTATACCCACCGAGTGTTAGCTGACACCCAACAAGAGATTTTTTACCTCTTCCTTGGCGGGTACTCCGCGGGTACGTATGCACACTGCACACGCCATTGCATGCTCGCCATGATGACCATGACACTGGGTATGACAGTGTTTTTTGATCATATAGGTTCTCCCTCATCTGGAGGGTGTATTTGTTTGTAAGTATGAATAGCTGAGATCAAAGGAATATTGTTGTTGCCTCCTTTTCTTCGACCCGCTTTTTGCACGTTGGTGGCTCTGCAATGTCATCTATAAATCTTAGTGATTACTTCCTCTATATTTAATTTGATATGCTTTATTGTTCGTTTCAATGTGTGTTTTTGTTTGTGTGGACCCGTCATCATCAGTCAGTGTATGTAGTTTTATAGTACTACAAAGCTTTTTGTGTCAGAACTCATCAGTCGCTTCGGAATTATGATTCACTTTAAATCACCAACAGTGCCATTTCCCACACAACCTTGCTCCGGACCTGAACAGAGGCACCTTTTAATGAGTGTGGGCTCTCTATGACGATGACTCCTGTCTCAGCTGTGATTGACTGAGCTGCCATGGTCATGGTCTCAGGTGTTAGATGGTCATGCCGGGCAGAGGCAAGTCAAGTCTGCAACAGCGCGCGTCATCTATCTCTCTCAGTCTCATTCTCCTCTGAGAGATGGAGCTCTCATCGCTCATCCCAGCCCATCACGCTCGATGATTGGCTTATTATCACATGTCCTGCACAGAGGGCGAATAAGCCATGCATCATGTCACACGCTGCTGCTTCCACACACACTTTTACGTCCACACACAGAGGGCAGTCATACATATCAAGGATAACATCGTTTTAGTCTCGGGCAGTGATGATGGTCTAATAGAACTGCACGGCAGTGCACACACACACTGGATAAGAGGCAAGAATCTCACAGAAATTGGAGAACAAAACAATGCCAGTCCAAACAAGATGTGTCTGTTGTCATAGTTACAAGAGTTACCTTGACAGCATGTCATGTTAAAGGGGTATGCCACTAAAATATGATAGGTTCATTTGTCTCTTTATGAATTAATTTGAACGTTCACATTTTTTAATAACAATTAAACCAGATGTGACAAGTACATAATGGACAGAGTTTTTTTCTTTCTGCAGAGCAATATGATGGCATGAAACATTGACCTTTTAATTTTTTGTTAGAAGTTATCACTTCCTCATAACATGATCAGACATGAGTCAGAAATTCCATTATAATCGACCGGATCATCATCAAAATCAGGTTTTTGCAATTTCCCCATGGTGTTTGAATTATGAACACAAAACATGAGACAAAAGTGTTTAAGGCCAATGTAAAATAACTCACCTTAACAACATTTCTGATCATGCCATTCGATTAACACCTTACAAAAAAATCCAGTATCACAATCCAAACATACAAAAGCCTGGAAGTGTAGTGTAATGTAGACCTTTTCTTGTATCAAGAACTGAAATAAGTAAGGAAGAGGAGGGTTCGATGCAGCCTAAACTATCAATGTTTTTTAGTGAGGTTAGTGACAGGCTTTTAATCCGTGATGGTCTAAAAGTGCAGTGGTACGAAGGTGACTCGTAACAATGTTTATTCTGGTTATCACTATGGAAATTTTAGCCACAAAGAAAATATAATTCCACATTACAGTAAATCAGTTAAATGTACAATGAGCCAGCTGTTACTGAAGGAAAGGTGTGATGCTAAAAGTTTTAATGGGTCCACACCTGGTTGGGCCCGCCAGCTGCCTGGCTGGGATTACTGTTATCATCATTTGACAAGTTTTGAGGATCTGTGAAGTGTACTGAATGAACTATTCCCTGAAAGTGTGTGAGCGTGGCTCTGTTGTAATGAACTAAACGGTGCTTGAATAATCTCTCTACTTTTCAGGCCTGATTTCACTTGAGCTTCAGAGGGAGCACAGAGATAGTCAGATACAGACAAAGCTTGGTGTCACTTGCTCCATGCAAAGCTCCATGCAGAGCTCCAAGGATCAGCATCCTGTGAGTTTTCATTATCAAAGTATCCCTGAAATAAAAAAAAGGAACAGGGAGCATGCTGGTGGATGTATTAAGCTGCTAATGGTTGAGTGTAGAACAAAGATAACCATGAACACATTCCTTATCCTCTTTGAGCAGTACTCTCAGCTTCAGTTCTCCCCAACATCTTGTCTCCAGATAAACTCCACAGCAACCAATTTCAGTCTGTATCTCTGCCAAAGCGTCAATTTTCCCATCACTTCACCCACTCACTTCTCAATCCTCCCCAACCTCTCAGTTTATATATTCTCATTTAGACCTCCCTTCATAGCAGTTAATCTTCCTCTCTGCTGCTCCAATCCAATCTCTTCCAGGAGTTTTCTTCTTTCTCTCCTTCATCCTGCCTTGCCCCTCATCCTGACCTCTTTGAACTTACCTCTAAGCCTTACCTTTATGGAACCTTTTGGTTGCCCAAGGTACTTTAGCAGAAAGCAACAGCTTCTCAGAGCGTACAGAGCTTGAGGGTGTGTGCAGCTTGGTATTCTAATTTTGTGCGTGTTTATGAGTCTGTGCGAGTATGTGTGTGTGATGGGTGTGTTGTCCTCCAAATAGCTAACAACCCCGAGCCACGGCTGATGAAATTTCATTAGTCAAATGCTGCTTAATTGAAGGTTTGTTTTTCTGTTTGAGAATGAGAATCAACAAAGGAATAAATACACACTGTAATTTATTTCCGCATTTTCTTTGAATGACATACACACAGCAGAGAAAAGTTGCAACAAGTAGTTCTGTCTTTGCAGGGGCTGGCGATCACCATGCCACAAAGATTGCCGAGCCATAGCAGGTACATGCCTGAGGCCACCTCCTGTTTCAGGTTTGTTGTTTCCATCTCACACAAATAGCTTCTGTAATTCCTTTCTCAAGTAATCTTTCTTCTCTATCTGGATATTATAATATGGATATTATTATAGACCCAGTTGAAATGTACAAAAAAAAAGTTGTTTGATGTGTTTGTGTTCCTTTTCTTTTTTTTCTGCCCTTGTAGGGACATGCTCAGCCCAATTTTATGGAGTTCTGATCAGTGTGTTTTCCAGAGAGTGCTCAAGTAAAAGAGAAGTTGTTTTTTTGTATGTCAGTGTGAAAATGTTCCCTTCCCTCAGTGTTTCCACCAAAGTCTAAAAAAGGAGAAGTCCTCCAATCTGACCACCACATGCTATATTTTTACCTTCTCATATAAAGAAGGCTCCTCCTGAGCTGAAATTTGAATGGTCTGAAATCATTAGTTGTGGATGATAAAATAAGTCTTCCATCTTATACTATTATACTATACTGTTCAACAAATACTCGTAGAAAGTACCAAAGGGTTGGAATATGTCAAGTAAAGGAGTGTCAGAGTTATTCATACAGAAAAAAATATTTATGGTTTACTGAATGGACAAAAGCAGATAGTCCTGTACTCCACATTCTTGAGTTGTGTGGTGGAAAATGGAAGGTGCGAAGTTTGGAGGTGCGATAAGCGCGTTAAAGAAATAATTGCATTTCTTCCGTCATGGAGGCTTGGGCT